TATACCAGTGGCTACACGTGTTTGATTATGTTGTCTTAATATATTTTAGCTTACGCTGCATCACAACTTTTCATCTCTCTTGTAGACCAAATCGTCTCTTCTGTGGTCCGCAAAAATATAAAAAATACGATTATACCAAAAATAAGCCATATTGGTCTCGGTTACAGTGATAAAAAGACCGATAATCAATACTTAAATAATAAATATTTTGTTTCGCACTGGTTCTGAGATAAATTTTTTTGCTGCCCTTTTCTGTGCTCCATTTGTGTATGACCCTTTAATATTTTAGTGGTACTGTGTAATTTATACATTGTATTTACATGTAGAAATAGAGACAAAAAAATTGTAATAAAAAAAGAAAATTAAGTATATACCTAAAAAAGTTATTGGATTTTAATGTAGGTAGCTTAATTATGAGAAATAATGAAACTTTTTGAAAGAATGCCTTTAAAACCTTCAACTTTGTTAAACAGTTTTTATTCGCTTATTTTTTGAAATATGTTAGATAGTAAGTTTTTCTTCGTTCTTAGCCACATAAAGTATATTGTGTGTGCCTTCTATACATTACCATTTACCGCCTCTTACCGATATGGGCTATACGCATCCAGTCTGTCCATGGCTCAGATCATTTTTGGTAAAAAAAATTGTTCGCTTCTGTTTCCTGACAAAATTTTCACACTCAGTTCCAATCCCAATTAAAATTTCCATAACTGTTCTATAATTTTCTGCCATCTAAGGACTTGGTTATGTTTGACCTATTATGACTTATAAGAACTTGACTTCATTCTCCGTTTTAGGTTTCATTGATCTTAAATTCATACCGACAACGAAAGGGAAGTGTTTATTAATGCATAAACAATACACGTATTCGCAACAGAACGATTCTGGAAACTATTATTGTTCGAAGAAGAATGCAGGATGCAAAGCCCGTATCAAAATAAGGAATAACAATATTACCGAAATTCACAATGAACATTTTCATGAACCACCTCGTTATGCCTTTGTGAGTGGTCGATATGTGAAAATATGATTTTTTTTTAAATATAAACTAAAATCGTGTATACTATAAATGATATAGTTGGCGAATTGTAAATATATATTAAAAACTAGTATTAATAAAAAGAAAACTGACTTCAATAAAATAAAATGAGAATATTCAACAATATAGTCGAAGAGAATTAAAAATGACTCAAAAAGTAATCGTCAGATCTTGGGAAAATTTAAATGGGATCACATGAGAAGCATCAGCTTTCAAATAAAAAAGATTCGTCCATAACGGTCCTCTTAAAAAGCTCGAAGGTAACACACATTAAATAAAACAGTCCAATTGAGAATCTTCTTCTTTTTTTTTTGAAGTCGGCTAAAATGAACAAATGTAAATTTTCGTATTATTTACGAAAACATTGAAATAAATTTTATTTTAAATAAATTTTATTTAGTTTTATTATAAAATTGTTCTCCAAAATATCGCATAGGTATACAGTACTGTAATGTCACTTATGCGATTCTTGTTAAAACTGAACTGAGTTTTCGAATATCAATTTTTTAATAGTTATTAGTGAGATGTTTGCTTTTACTGTTAACGTTTAAAGTTGTAGTTTAAATATAATCATTTTATTTCTTAAGTCGAGAGAAACTATATTTATAATTGTAATAAGATGTTGAATTTTCAAATTGTTCTCCTGAAAAATTACATAAATTGCATAAGTTTTATTTTTATTTTTATTGCTTAAATGGGTGGACGAGCTCACAGCCCACCTGGTGTTAAGTGGTTACTGGAGCCCATGGACATCTACAACGTAAATGCGCCACCCACCTTGAGATATAAGTTCTAAGATCTCAGTATAATTACAACGGCTGCCCCACCCTTCACACCGAAACGCATTACTGCTTCACGGCAGAAATAGGCAGGACGGTGGTACCTACCCGCGCGGACTCACAAGAGGTCCTACCACCAGTAATAAGTGACGTTATGGCACCGTATGTGCGATATTTTATTTCACAACTACATATTTATGATTGACTAAATAATTTGAATTTCAGATATATTGGACTATAAATTTATTCCGTCGAATCGTGGCAAGGCTCTTCTAATGTTAAACGGCTATACGTACTGGCAGAAAAACGAAACGAACTATTATTATTGTTCGAAATTCGGTTCCGGGTGTAGGGCTCGCGTTTGGTTGGATTTTAACAGGATACCGAAAACAGTATTGGGAAGCCATTTACATCCGCCGCCGAAGTATTTTATTACAAAAAACGGACAGTATTATAAAACGTCTTAAGTTTTGTAGGCAGCGGCTTGGCTCTGCCCCTGGCATTACTGAAGTCCATGGGCGACGGTAACCACTCACCATCAGGTGGGCCGTAAGCTCGTCTGCCTACAAGGGCAATAAAAAAAAAAGTTTGTAAAATCTTAATTTACTTGAAAAAGGGTTCGAAGCCAATAGTCGTCTATTAAATGAATTAGGTCAAAGGATCTTGTACTGATAATAGCCTATCCGGCTATTCATTATAAATTATCTTAGCTTAACCGAGGCACCTTCCTACCACCTAAATGGCTCTTTCCAAAAATTCATCCTTCAAATAGGTACTTCCCGACTCTTAAGTGGATGCCCCCAAATTAGTTCGTATGTGACGAACGCATAACCGTATCGCGGTACTGTTGAGCCATGTATTTGTATTTGGCACCAAGTGAATCGTGAGCTCGTCGGATTTTTTTTAAGGGATTTTATGACCTGGTAACTAAGTCCTTTAGGAAAAGTGATATTATGAAATGAAATGAAGTTGATTAATATGAAACATGGCATGAAACAAAATAAAATGAGATGATATGGGATATAATCCCAGTAAAATGGTGGTCCTTTACTGAGACTTTTACAGTGGACTTTTTGGAGGATCCCGAGAAGTTACGTTCAGCGGCTTTGTTTCATATTCCCACATTTGTGCACTTTCACAGATACTAAACAGCTAAGTAATAAACCAACGTTCAATTAGGTTTGAATTTTCATGAATTTGAATTTCAGTAGGCAGAAAAACAATACACGCAAAAATAATGTTTACAAAGCTATCTGTTATCTATGGGTGAAACTATGGATAGGCCGGTTTTGCATCAAAATTTATTATATTTTAAATAAATTCCAATATACGCCATTTAAGCTCGTATATAAAATATATAATATATGTGGATTAGGCCACTTTTGCGCTGATGGCCTCAATTAATATGGCTGGTTAACGTATGTGCTTCGGGGGGACAAAGGCGGGTACCTTTTGGGGCAGTTTGGCCGACTAGCTTTAGTTTTCGGGATCGTGCGACTGGGATTCTTTCAAAATGTGTTTGATACCATTTAGTTGAACACAAACTGTTCTGACCTGAATCACATTTCGGACATTTTTAAATATAGCAAAATAGTTATTGCCAAAGATGAAATTGAAGAATTTATAATATGTGTACATTGATTTTTCTGATTGTTTTTTGTGGTAAAAATCTACTCATTTTGTACAATAAATATTATGCGTCAATGAGTTATAACGCGAGGAACAATCCATAAAATTATATTGTAGAATATTATATCATGCTCACGATCTCGTCAAGCGTGAACTTTACAAGTACTTACGAGAGTATCTGTATTTGTGTTCGAAACACAGAACATTGAACTAGTCGACTTGTAATTTAAATAATTAGATATTAAACTGATGAATTGTTAGTAAAATAATTTAAATGTATTATTATAATATTAAAAAAAACAAAAAAGAATATTTATTTGTAATTTTTTATTAGAATATCATTGTTTCTGATTTTCATCGATGTTAAGGGAAGTAATGGTTCCGTGAGGTCTGGAAAATATTTTGTTTTTATCTAACACGAACATTAATTAACATTTAACGGCCGTCTGGTGTAGTGGTAAGTGACGTGGTCACTAAACAAGGGGGTCGCGGGTTCGAATCCCGCCAAGGGAAGATATTTTTATGATAATTATAAATGTCGTTCCAGGGTTATGGGTGTATATAAAGTATATGTATGTGTAAAATAAAAATCTTATATTTATTTCCGTTATCTGATACCTGTAACACAAGTTCTTTACGAACTTACCACGGGACCAGTTAACGTGGCGTGATTGTTATTAAATATTTATTTATTTATTTATTAATGAACGATCCCCCAAGCTTGCAAAGGTTAGCCGAGTATATTAGACTTGAAATACTCTAATGGATCCTAAAAATAAGAAGATATAGTATGTTCGATGTCAGTACCTATTTATTTATTCAAATTAACGGTGTACATGGCTATGCGTAGTAAAACTATTGATGACCTAAGCGTCGGTAACCAATTAGGATCAGATGCTGCTTATTTATTTATTTATTACACTTCATGTAAAATTTACATTGGCGGACTTAATGACAGAGTAAACAGTGGTAGGTGCAATGAAATTTATATTAAGTTACAAATACATACACAAAAAAAGTATATACATACATAGATACACACATACATACATACATGGTAGTACCCCTTGTGAGTCCGCGCGGGTAGGTACCACCATCCCGCCTATTTCTGCCGTGAAGCAGCAATGCGTTTCGGTTTGAAGGCTGGGGTAGCCGTTGCAACTATATTGAGACCTCAGAACTTATATCTCAAGGTTGGTGGCGCATTTATGTTGTAGATGTCTATGGGCTCCAGTGACCACTTAACACCAGGTGGGCTGTGAGCTCGTCCACCCATAACAGCAAAAAAAAAAGTTTGTTTTGGTGATCTTGATCAATTCTTGCCTTCATTGTGAAAATAGAACAACAGGAAAAACGCCAATAATACTATTAATTAATATCTTCTGTTTTAAATATGTAGATGTATTACGTTGTTTTTTTTCGTGAACACTTTAATAGTTACGATTAGTTTGGCTTCATATTATTTTTAATATTTTCTTGCATTACGTAAAATTACACAAGCACATTTATTGCAAAGACAAAAAAGATTGTTTTGTCTTAGATTTGGCACTATGTACACGTCCACTAATCAAGTTACGTTATCGTATTTAAACAGATAACCCGAAAGACGGATCAAGAAAAAGAAGTTCAATATGGACGTATTTTAACGTTTTGAACGGGAACATGTACCGTTGTAAGTTCTGCAGCGTGATGATGAAGAGCAACCAGGCTAGACATTTAAGAGCGAAACATCCGAAGGCGTTCAAGCAATGGAAAGAGAGTAGTAAAAGCTTCGGAGAAACAAAATACAGCAAAGGTCTCTTGTGTTTGTCGTATTAATTGCAATGTATATAGTTATTGCAATAAAATTGTGAGCCCTCAAGAGTAGGTGTCACTTAAGTGCCTATTTCTGTACTGAAGCGGTCAAACGTCCCGTATTGGAGGATACGACAGTATTTAGTATATGGCTTATAGTTTAACAAATGGCCCCCGGCCTGACTAATACGTTTGGCAAATTATCCCAGAAAATGTGTAGAGGGCTAAATAATAAGATAATGTGTTGATTCCAAACAGGAAAATGATCCCAAGGGTCGAAGTGGCGGACAATTTCTTGCCCAAACCCTGTGATAAACTAAGAAATTAAATAGATTATGTAGAAATAGGAGGATCATAACTGTAACCGAAAGCCGGGCGTTACTATTATCATATAAGATCTTCTGATCTAAAACATTTGACCGAACTGTTTTCCACTACTAAACTAATTTCATGTAATGTAGGTTCTGTTAGCAAAATTCTGTGTTAAAAAATTAACACATGCTGAGACTTATCCGTGAATTGGATTATAGGCATCCATAACACCAGTATTGAGAGCACGAAGCTTATCAATAGCTTGTAGCAATCAACGTTGTTCAACGTTGTGTTATATCGAAGTGCTTTTAAAAACGTTTCTTTCTTTATTAGTTGTACCATCGCATCAATCAGCTAGACGTGGTTGGATAAAAGATTACCTGAAAAAAATTAGCGAAGGAAAATACGAATGCAAAATATGCTCGACCATTTTGAAAATGCCTCATGGAATCTACGCTAATATGAAGAGACATTTGAAAATGAAACATCCGTTGATATATGAAGAAGAAATGAAAGTTAACGGTGAACAATCTACGGCTACTGATGTGGTAGAGTACGTTGTTGAGTATGTTGATGATGATGCCACGTCCATTGACAGTGATGAAATATTAAGCGCTATTAGAGGAGAAGTCAAAGAAAAGCAAGCGAACGCTCCGATTTAACTGGAAAATTGATTAGTAATGAAAGAAGTGGTTAGAATTAAAGTGTAGATATTTTAAAGGGATGCGTAAATTCTTGAATAATATTTTTTTATAGATTATGGTATGTTTTTATTTTGAATAGGTTGATAAGTTGTAGTTTAAATAAATAAATTAACGTTATTCAACATTTGTTGTTCAACATTTAACGTATACTGTGTTAATAATAAATATTCAAATAAATTGTTAGAGTAAATGTAAAAGAAGTTACATTTTATGTCATAAATAGGGGGACATGTTCATTTTCTTGCCTGGGAGGATATTTCTCTATATAAAATGCGAATGATAAGCCACACGAAAAGTTTATTTATTTCAAAAATGTTCAGGAAGCAATGTGTGCTTGTAAGTGAAGCAGATAGAGAACAAATTTAAATAAGGATTCAAAATCTATTGTATTACTTTAAATTTACAATTTATGACGGTTGTGCATATTTTTCAGTTTCTGTTCACCAATATTTAAAGAAATTTCTTAAAATTTTGAAATATTTCAAATCTTATTATGTGATTAAACCCAATTTAGGATGTGTATTTAATTTTGTTGAGATTCTCATAATTATCATTAGAAAATGGCTACCACAGATAACACTTAATAACACAATTCCTGATCTAGCAGGTAAAATGGTTCTGGATATGTTGTCTCAATAACAAGTAACAGGAAACACAGTTAATGTTTATACCAATTTAAGGTACTCAACAGATGTTTGAGGTAATACAAATGTAAATAGTCTGACGTAAATAAATTTTAGACATACGTGCGTTTTTCAAATAACGCTTTACAATCATAATGTTAATAACAGAAGGTGTTCAAGAATGTTAGTACTACATTAAAAATTAATGCAAACTGCATTTTTATCTTTGTATTTAAACAGGTGTAGATACGAACGGATCGAGAAGAAGAAGTTCAATATGGAACTATTACAGCGTCTTGAAAGGAAATTTTAGCCGTTGTAAGCTTTGCGGCGCGGTAATGAAATCCAACCAAGCTAGGCATTTGAAAATCAAACATGTGAAGGCGTTTAAGCAATGGCAGGAGACCAGTAAGGTAAATCGTACGGGTAAGTACTATTATCCTGCTCATTTGTTGCGCGAATATATTCGACAAATTCGATATTTGTGTAAGAGTTATCAGGCCGAATTATGGTGGCTTATTTTGTTCTTCTTTTGGTACGAGAGACAGTAGCAGAATTTAAAATTCTTTTTTTTTAAATCTCAGTATCTCTCAAACCGCCTTTCCTCTTAATATATGAAACAGTACAAAAGTAAACTCTTGTAATTAAACAGAATAATAATATGACGTATAATAATATATGCTATAAACAGTTGAGGTAAATTGGTAAGAGGCAGTTAACCGTGGTTGCTTGTGGAGACACTTCACATAATAGCTTTTATGACGACCAGAATAAGGTACGTACTCAGGTTCGGAACTCGGTAGAAGCAAAATTCTGAATATAATGTTTCATTGTAAAAAAACGTTTAAGATCCAGTTAGACAAAAGTCATTACTTTTCTTTTTAAGAGTAGGTCCTGAATTTCATTGACGTTTTTCTTAGATCATTTATTTGTTTGTTAGTTAAACCACAAAGTTCGGGCAGACGCGGCTGGATACAAGACTATGTGAAAAAAATCGGCGACGGAAAATACGAATGCAAAATATGTTCAGCTATTTTGAGAATGCCCAGTGGGCTCTATGGTAATATGAAGAGGCATTTCAAACGCAAACACCCGATAATATATGAGGAAGAAATGAAAATTTTCAGCGAACAATCTAAGATTGAGGACGTGGTAGAATATGTTGTGGAATATATTGATGATGATGATGATGATGCTATCTCAATGAACAGTGATGAATTATTAAGTGCTATAAAAGGAGAGGTTCAAAAAGAAATTAATGTAAATAATAGATTAGATTAGTTTTAAAAGAAAATAGTGGTTGTATAGTTCAGTTTAGGTATACTTTAAAAAAGATTCTTAGAATATGGTGTAAAAAAATGTTTTTTTTTGTAAATAAAAAGGCTAATTAATAGCAATTACTGTTTTAATAAATTTTGATGTTACAATTTTATAAACTTGAGACTTACGCTGTCGATCTCATACCAGCGTGAATGGGTGTCAGTCAACGTTAGGAAAACAATCATGTCTGTGCGCATTGCATGTTAATTGGGTTAGTTGTTTAACCCTTAGAGCGCAAACCGTTGATATAGGTATCGTTTGATTATAAGTATCATTGAGCTGTACATATGAACCTGTCTTAGCGCGTGCATGTATAAAGTTTTTAATAAGTTAATCACATTTGTAAATAACCATTAAACACTGTTTTACTGTGAGTTTAGCATTGATTTTTGTATTTTTTTTAAGTTGAAGTTTTCCTAGAGACACGCTCCGGTTCCAAACAAAGCTTTGTCGTTGTGTTGTGTGTAGTAATAAAAAAGAAAAAGGAGTTACCCGATCTTCGCTAGTTTGTGTGTGCTGTAAAAAGGGAGTCCATGGTGTTTGTGTGGGGAAACATTTTTGCCAATGATTTTTTATAGAATTGCTTATTGCCTCTTTTTAATTAAATAAACACAGTTATTGAGAAAAATATGTTTCATTTGAGTAGTTTGATATGTCACTTACACGTAACAGAAATAATTACGAAAATCCATCTACATTTGAGGAAAATAATTAATATTCTGTACACCCTTATAAGGTACTTTTTTTAAAAATACTTTAGCAATTTCTGCTCAGCACCAAAAGGTTTAATATCCCGCTAATTAACTTCAAGAATAGCTTGGACAAAAGGCAAATTCGAGAAGTACGTAATGTTGTCGTGGGCGCGTGTAACTGTAACACGATATACAATTTTAAAATGTATCTTTTTTTTTTGGCCTTGTTTCATATACAATGTCTTGTAGTCATTTTTGGACATTATTAAATTGCTTACTTAAAAATAACTATATGGTGGTTCTCTCATGTGGATTGATTGCTTTAGATTATGTAGAATAATACGATAAGAATAATAGAATAACACAAAATTTCTTTGCCGCAGTTTTTGCAGAAGATAAACAAGACTTCACCAAAAATGATCTGCCCAAAAACAGAAGTTTATTATGGAAGTTCTTTGATCTGTCGGAAGATGACAAAGCTACTTGCAAAATTTGTAGTGGCAAAATAAAGGGAAATATTCTTAGACATTTGAGGTCTAGTCATCCTAAAAGCTATGAGTTTTGGAAGAAAAATATTAAAAAACAGAATAGTATTAGTTATTTGACATATCAAGGTAGCTAATTTTTCTATTTGTATACCATTGTAGTAGTGATTAGACAGCAGTTTGATATAGTAAAAGAAGTTATGGAGCTATGTTTCCCTGCCACTAAACGCCGAATCGATACGGGGGCCTTTCGGTCGGCAATCTATTCGAAGTATACATGCATGGCACCCCCTACTCGTAAGTAGTAAGCACGGCATACGTCATTCGATCAGAATCAGCGTGGGTCTAGAAGTGCGTTCATCCGTCACTCATGTTCATTTGTACTAGACTCGTGTAGAGTAGAGTCTTCAAACCGGTATACGGTGGAAACCCGAAACGACAAAACACTTGGATCTCAGCATTCGGGCACCCCTATCCCAGTCAACTCGACGAGTTAATTCCAAGCGCCAATCCTTCTCATGCCACGCTATCTGCTTTTGCAACATGTTGCGCTTACAGTATAACTATGATGCTATTGATTTTATTGGTTAGCCAAAGCAAAATATTTACCTTATTATAATGTATTTATTACCTTCAAAGTTACCCTAGTTTAACCATATCTAGCGGAACTGGGAGCAGTTTCACAAAACCGATATCGGACGTTAAATACCAATCATTTAAATTTTAGTACAACATCGATTCGACGGTAGAAAACATCCAGAGTGGCAAAAACAGTTCGCTCGGAAAGTAGGAAATCGATTGTATAATTGTTCTTTATGTGAGAAGAAATTAAAGCTGACTGATTTAAAAAAACACATCATCGACATGCACCCTGAAATTTATTATAACGATATTTACTCGGAACCAGAAATAAATACCGAAAAAAATTGTGGATCTATCGAATGTAACGATTCTTTATTAGCAGTTAATAACTTACCAACCGCTAATGAAAACGTACTTCAAGTTGGAAATAATATAATCAATGAAGACATTCGTCTTGACAATGACATAACTCTTAATAATATGGACGTTTATGATATTGATTTTGAAAATAACAATTTTGAAAATTTAAAAATCGATATCGATTATGGTTTAACTGAAGATGTTTCTAAGGTAACTGAAACATTCATTGGTAATTTTGCTAATGATGACTTTAAAGCAATTCTGGAGACAACAAATGAAGTGTCATGTAATGATTCTGGAGATGATCCTACAAAAACAAATAGTGAAGTGTACAAAACCTCTAAAGATCTTATCCTAGATTCATCTGAAACAACAGAGAAATCTAATCCGTGTATTACAAAAGAAACAGTCGAAAAAATTAAAATGCTATGCACAAAAGTTGATGTCAATCGTAAGTATGTATACAATTTTAGTGTAAATAATTTAGGCTTAGGGAGGCCTATGACAAGTAGTGGACTTCTGTGAAGAAGATAGAATTTAGGCATGTTATTTCTTAACACCGGACCGAATTAAAAGCAAAGTTAAAAAACGTGCACATGGTTGTTCATAATTTAATATTAAAAATTCATTTCACTTAAAATTTCAATATTATCGTTTTTTTTTTGACAGGGAAAAAACCTAATAGAAAAACATGCATTTGGAACTTTTTTGATGTCACTCTCGATACCAGGATATATAAATGTTCGTTTTGCTTCATCGAAATATCAATAGCTCCCAAATGCGTTTCAAATTTGAAACGGCATCTGATCTTGCAACATAGCTTGGAATATGATCTGATCATGAAGTATGCTCCTTTCAATGATCCATGCAAAGTTATGACTCCACTACTTTATGCATTCGCGGAAACAGGTAACTGTTATTCTCGTTAAGAGACTAAAAAAGATAAGTGATTGAAAAGTTATTTATAATTTCCAAAGTTCTTAGTATTTAATACATCGGTTTCATTAGACAATATTTCACAGATTTGACATCAACAAACATTGGCAAATATTGAATTGTTATAAATTTTCATTTTGACCATGTTTCATTTGGAAATAACCTATTACAGTGTAACTTGACAAATGACTAGGTACCACCGCCCCGCCTATTTCTTCCGTGAAGCAGTAATACGTTTCGGTCTGAAGGGTAGGGCAGCCGTTGTAACCATACGGAGATCTTAGAACTTATATCTCAAGGTGGGTGACGCATTTACGTTGTAGATGTCTATGGGCTCCAGTAACCACTTAAGACCAGGTGGGCTGTGAGCTCGTTCGCCCATCTAAGCAATAAAAAAAAAACTTGAAATTTTTAAAGTCAGAATTATTAGGCTTTTAATAGGGGCCAATTTAATAACCAAACTTTTTTAATAAGTAATACGTATATTAATATGGCCTCTATCATTACAGATCCAAACATAATAAGGAATTTTGAAATATTCGACGAAGGATGTTATAAATGCAAGTTGTGCGGACAAGTTATTGTGTGCGCAACGAATAGACCGCTTCTGATTGGACATTTACGTGAGAAACATCCTTTACAGATGATCGACTTCTATTCGAATTAGATTACCGGATAGTAAATTATACTAGTATATTAGTGAATATACTACCCTAATTTTGGCGCAAAACTTTATCAGCTTACGTGGTATTGATTTGTAAGATTTATTAAGAGGAACAAATACGGGCTGTATTTGTTTCTTTTTTGCTGAACGTTTTTTTAAATATTGCGCTAGAGAAGGGAACTCGGAGTACTTAGTGTAGTAGTAGTAGTAGTTGATTTTGAATTTAATGCTAAAGTAGTATTATTTAGTACATTCGTGAGAACCATCTTTTTGTACTTTTTTATAAATTGTAGTAATTTCAGTGAAAATTTCCCCACGTAAAAACTTTTGTACTATGTAGTAGGACGTATTGTGAGCCCGTACGGGTAGGTAGGTACCACCGATCTGCCTTTTTCTGCCGTGAAACATTTCCTGTGCTCCAGTTTAAGGGGTAAGCCAGTTCAAGGTAGGCCAAATCAAGTTGTGATAATTATGAGCTCCCGTAAATACCCAATACGAAGTAGATTATTTATTATTATTTTTTTACCTAATATTTCGTAATAAAATTAAATGTTTTTGAGGTTAGTCCGAAGTATTTTTAACAAAAACGTTGTAGGGTTTGGTAAAGTGTGATGCTGTGATATAGTAGGCCTAATCATTCCAGCGACTGGTATAATGATGAGAAAGAATCGGTAGCCAATGTGGTGGTGCTTTGAATTGGTGTTCTTGGAATTCAGACGGCAGTGGCCTTTACATTAAAAATGGGTAGGGAACAGGACTGATCTCGAAAATAAATCAATGTGATATTTTTCGTGAACCCTTACGCTTGTGTCTTGCACTGTCATAAACGTTTCTTGAATCAATGAATACAAAAGTATTAAATACTGCCCTAGGTTTCGAAGATTTGTTTGTATTTTTCTCAAATTCTAGTCATTTGTTTTTTTTTATTTGTATTTCAAATGTCATGTTAGAGCTGGAAAGCTATTTTTATAAAATTATTAAGTTTAATTTATACAAGCTCTTATATTATGGAGGCAACAGTAACTTTAGTTTAATGTTTCATTCGTGAAATGTTCTTTGTTACTATTTTACTATTTATATACACAGTAATTAGGTATTAAGTAAGTTTATTTGCAATTCCGACACGTGAAAAGGCTGATTGATAGGTACTGCCATCACGCTTGGAGGCATAAAATGTGGCACATTACAGTTAAGAATTCAAACTCCTTGGTTTCTGATAACCTGGAGAATGAAGGATTTATCTGCCTATATAAAGCAAAGATGTTCGATTTTGGATTGAATTATCGAACCGCGATGTTTTAAATTTTTCTGAAAGCTACATGTTGTATAGTGTACAGATTGTTCGAAAGTTCCCAAAGCTGGGATCCTCTTGCCTTGTACTTAAAATTAACGTCACGTAACACAAATACCCTAATATTAAAGTTATAAGTGTTAAGGTTTGTGATTCCCAAATACGCTTAGTGTGTCAACTATTGCATACATATACATTTTGTAAATTTATTGCCTAGTAGTTTTTTTTACTTCCAATATTTATACCAATTATACGCGGTATACAAAGTTAAATAAATGTTTTTTCGTAAAAATATTATATTACGCCCTTAAACTGTTTTAATAAGAAGTTAATTTTATGGATTCGTTGTGCAATGATAAAAACTAAGATTTAGTTTCAATAATAGAAGTTAATCCGTGAGTTGCTGATCAATTGGATCGTTAGGATTCTTTTAGAAAATGATCATTCAGGACAGGACTGCATAAAAATTACCATCACCACGGAGCGTGGCAATATAAAGAGGTATGCACCTTTTGCCAAATAAAATTTGCGATAAATTAAAATATAGTTTAAGGGCTTCATATTTTTGTAGTTTCGAACTATGATGTTGAACTTCAAGGGTTATTATATCAAGGGTTATTATATTTGATAGATATAGAACAGTAGATACAATAGATATATCGATACTATTAACTAAGCTAATAAGTGATTGCATGTCAGTATTTCTATGTTCAAGTGCCAATAGTACTTACCACCGTGCTGTTCATACGCTTCACAATTAAAAGACTAAAATGTATTTTAAAATATTGTAAAATTGTCTTTTATGAGAAACTTTACAGTAGATATGATATAGTGTCTGGAAATAATTTATAATAAATGTAACCCTAAAATTATAGTATATAAAATTAATTATGGCGAGAGGTAAAAGGGTATTTGGTTAAAGCGACATTTTTGTAACTTTACAGGAAAGTCACTTAAAGATTAAAATTTAGAAAAAATATCATAACACTAAAAAATCTTCAGCTATTAGAATGGAGTAAACTTAATTGAAGTTCAATTAAAAACATCGAACTGGTGATGCTAATACCAAATAAAACACACATTTCATTATAAATATAAATGTCGCTTAAACTAAATATATAGCCCTTCACTCTCTGATGTGCATTCATGTTATTAATATTTAATTAAGTACGTTATCAAATGTACGTAAAGTGTGAAAAGCGGTTCTTTATTAATTAGCTTCCAATTCACAAAGCGTTGTACTGCAAGTTTTTGTTTAGTCGAAATGGGAGTGTGGCAAACACTCCCTTTTCCCTCCCGTTTCCCTTTTAGTGACGTCGTTAAACAACTCGCTCTCCTAAAGATACAATCTATTCGCTAACCTATTCGAAATACTAACTCTAAAATACTCAATAAAACACCACATTGAATTGTCGGATAATTCTTAATGTGCCGATATTTAAACTGACATAAAAAGGAAAAGCTCTCAGTTACGGTCGAATTAATATTAGCTTTTATCTAGGAAGTTGCCGTTTAGTATACAGAAAATTAAAGATTTTTTATTTCTATCTATCAAAATATGTAATATGGTTAATTTTTCAGTGACCTTCTTGATGAGGTCAGGTGTACGAGAGCCAACAATTTCTTCAAAGACTTTTTGTACTGCTTCTAAGTATTCAATTTATTCACTGCGTAAAAGTTGTCCAAACTTTAGAAAATGGACCAGTCTTGTTTTGTTGCCAATGTTCAAAGCTGCTACTTACTCAGCGGTAGATTGAGTATCGTCAGTTTCCACTATCGCCTTTAATGCATCACTGTTGAGTTTAGTTTTCGGGCGATCACGGGCTTGGTCTGTAGATCAATATTTCCATGGTGGAAGCGTTCAAATCAATAACAACGAGACGTGTGTTTGTTTGTAGTGTTCACTCCGTACACGTCATTAATGTTGTGAGGAGTATGTGTTGCAGTTGACTTAATATATAATTTGATACTTTTTAACTGATATTGAATTTTGAATTTTGAATTTATTGCCGGGCCATTTATTCATACCTTTCAAATGGCCAGTATTTTAAAACGGCAATTTCAGAGATAAGTAAAACCTATTATTTTCCCCGGCATCTGCTTCTTATGAGCAAAATTTAATTTTATTTTATATAATAATCAATATAGTAATATTGTGATATTAATTAAACTATAACATACAAAAAATTCATTACATTCACACTTTGTTATCTTTTAAATAATGTATACTCTTCAACAGTAGTCGAACATGCTGAAGAGTACAATTAAATATTATTAAATTAATATGCAGTACCAGGGTAAGTAAAAGTATTCTGCCAATTTTTCTATTATATATTACTGTGCCAAATATTTGCAATTAGTTCTCCGTCCTTAGTGTGCGCTGTGCACTATGGTGTGAGAAAAAAAAAACTTACCATTTAGTTGTTAAGGAAATCGAACGATACAATTATTGTTAATCCAAATTCCGCCTAAATATCATATGTGAAATATTTGTAAACGGTCAGTACAGAGCCATTATTTCTTGGTCCTTTGTAAAATGTAGCTTAAGTGTAATTATTTAACGTATAATATCACACACCAGTAAGTATTGATGTATTAATAATAAGGATCAAAATAAATTATCGTCTGTGTCGAATAATATTTTTAATTTTGGTTTTAGAATTTTGCTAATGTAAGGTATGGAAAATATTTATATCGTTTTTATTTCGTTAAGGCCCATTTTACTCGTATTACCAAAGTAAAACACCTTATCAATAAAATTAACAAATATAAAATTTATGTTATTGTATCTCTCAAGATGTCCTGCCCCACGCCACTTTTGTGTTAGAGCGTACCTGAGCGCATCTATCAAATTTGTTTTTTTTTTAATGTGTTCTTCTTATCTTTTGTAGGTATTTTTCTTATTTTATATATGTACCTCTTCCATCGCTTTCTGACAGGTCACTAATTTTGTTTTTATTTTTATGTTGTAAGTCCATGTTTGGCATCCATATAAGAGAGTTGGTAGGATACAGTTCGTTATATCGTATAATAAATGGTAATTAAGGTAGAGTGGCGAACGCGCACCGCATAACGCAGCGTGGGTAGCCTTTCACAAGGTACTGGATCATCAAGTTTGAGCCCCGCGAGCTCACCTACTAGTCAAAGTTACGCTGAAATGGTCTCTCAAGACAATCAGCTTAGAGTACAAAAAAAAACTGAACGGACAACTTGCTAAAGATTGCGGAAAATTGCTGGACGCGGGGTGCCCAAGGCCAGTCATTGTGGCTTTACGAGTACACTGGGTTTCTTATCCTTTAGGCCAGTGCGACTTCAACCTGACCTAACGTTCTTCTTCTGTTTGCAGTCAACTACGTAATGCTACCGACCTCCCGAGGGAAGCAGCTCCTAATGTTCCACGGTTATACGTACTCGATGAATAATCGCGGTAGTGGCCTGTTTTATTGTTCGAAAAAGGCCATTAATTGCAAAGCTAGCGTTAAACTGGATGCGAACGGTAAAATAGTGAGAGCCTACGAGCAACATAACCACAGTCCTCCGAAATACGTGGTGACCGCGAAGGGCGAATTTCTCAAAGTCAATTGAAAATATAAAAGATATTCTTGCATGAAACTCGTTTTATTTGGTGACCTTGAGTGATTGTTTGAATTTTTTTAGTTACATCAATTCCACATCATTGTTGGTTGATCGAGAATATAATGGTGCTTTGTTTGATGATTTCAGAGACACCGAAAATACCATATGATTTGACGACTTCGCAAAGAGGCAAGACCTTGATATTGGTGGACGGTTATTCGTTTTCGCAATGCGAGAAATTCATATGGTATTGTTCAGTGCGTAAAAACAGTTGCAAGGCTTCGCTCAGAATGAACGAAAGCGGAGAAATAACTTCGCTGAACAACAACCACACCCACAAGCCCAGGAAATACACTAAAATGATTAACGGATCTATAGTATTTTTAGGTCCGTAGGCTCTTTTATCAAGCGTTTTCTAAAAACAAACCCGTTATGTTGGAATAGAGTTTTCTAACTAAGATGTTAGATTGAGGTGTCTTATATAGGTTTCTAAGAGTTAATGGAAAGCCCTCACTTTCAGACGTAATTATTAAGTTGATCTTTATGTAAATAGGTAAGTTATTCTTTATATAAATAAATACATAACATTATTCGTCGAGTATTCGAAAAACATAAAGGTTTTCATTTATAACTCTGATGTATCGTGAATTCTAAAGTAAACACACTGAATTATTAATTTGTAATTTGTACTGTAAATTGTAATCTAAGACTATATGTGGCCTATTTTTGTTAATTTTTTTACTGGATAATTCCAATAGATATGTAAATGTAGATATATTTTTTAATAAGAATAAGGATGAGGAATTTAAATTAAGAATTTATTTTGAACGTTTTGCATTGTGCCTTAAGCCGGTTGCATTTCCGGTTTCGGCTAAAGTCAGCATCGGCTGTTCAGTGCTGACCGTGGCGACTCTCCCTACCACCCCCGGGTTCTGTATCGTGCGAGCATCGGACACTTGGGTAAGAGTAAATGGGAACCATTTAATGGGTGGCCTTTACGTCATTTCGGATCCTCCCGATCCACTAACGGTGCTTTTAGGTACCTCAAGCACCGGTCATCGTTCTCGTCGAACCCGTCGCCTGCGACGAAGGGCTCGGCGAGTAAATTAAAACCCACAGACGCAGCCCACTGAGTTTCTCGCCGGATCTTCTCAGTGGGTCGCGGTTCCGATCTGGCAGGAGATTCTGCGAAGCACGACTCTTGGTAAGGTTCGTGTGTTCGTTAGGTTTGAGCCCCGTCAGCTCACCTACTAGTTCGGCGATTCTAGAATAATCCCTCGAGGTTACTAGAATAGGTAGGAAAAAAAGGTGGCTTTTAACATCTTTCACAGTTCCGCATACACCTCGCGCTCTCTAACCGGGGTGTCAAGTGGGTAGTTCAACACCTGACTCAATGAAAGCGTTATTTGCTGCGCACAATCAGCATGATGCTGACTCGGAATCGGATGTTTATTAAAAGGCGAGCGTATTTATCGTTGTTGAGATTATTGGATTCTCTATTTAAGTTTTTTTTGTTCTGAATAAAGTTTTATCTGTGTTTATACCTATGTCATTTCAAAGGTACTCATGTTCATTTTAGTTAAAACAGAGGGAAAGCTTTAAAATTGCGTGTCCGTTCTTGGACCGGGACGTTCGTACTCGTATGGTGACGGGATTCGGACTCCGCTATCTACAGGTGGATCGTGACCCTGCCCATCTATGCCAAACACAAAATATTGCTTATTTATTTATTTACTATATATATAATTGAGGCCGTCAGCGCAAAAGTGGCCTAACCCACAATTCATATTCATGCTTATGTATTGCAATTTATTTAAAACATAATAAATTTTGATGCAAAATCGGCCTATCCCTAGTTTCAATCCATAGACAACAGTTGAGTTTGTAAACATCATTTTAGCGCGTATTTTTTTGCTTACGAAGTATTGTAAAAGTATATTCGAACCTCATTATCTCCATACTAACTATGGTAAGTTTAGGCCACTTTTGCGCTGACGGCCTCATGTAAACACTACACATATTTTCTCACGTTCAGTTTTCTCATTCGTGCAATAATTGGTTTCTCTAATTCCAGAATACCCAAGTTACGACATTGTTATATCTCAATTCGGAAAGCAGCTGATATTAATAGGCGGTCATACGTTTTCTCAAACGCAAGGGAACAATTGGCGTTGTTCGGTAAAAAGCATGAAATGCAAAGCGAAGCTAAAAGTCGATTTGCACGGGAATATAATATCATTGCAGAACGATCACAATCATTCCCCTAGGCAGTACGTAGGAACCAATGATGGAACTTTTATACGCGTTTAAAATTAAACTTCTTCTTCTTAGTCGTGTTACTCTTGACAGAGTGGTCGTGATCATCATGTAGTGTTGGAAGGGGCAAAAAACTAAAAGGGGCAAAATTAAACTTACGTACTTGGTTATCATTGTGTCTATAACAAAGCAGTTGATTGTCTGTTCAAAATTGTAATTTTTAATCTTTGACATGCATGTGCAGAATCATTTTATCGTAGTCAATATTTTAGTAATAACCATATACAAACTGCAAAAGTGGATGGTACAGTAACAAAGATTAATGAATCTACATTTAACGCATCTAGGGAACGAGGCAGATATAAAATTATATACAAAAAAACGACTGTCGAGTTAAAAACTAGATAAAAGCCGTAATCTATATGACACATGTAGAAAATAGAATGACCATAGCTTAATCCTATTAACTTGGATTTGAATTGTAATATAATATACAATTATTGTAACGTAGGAAAGATATTTTTCTGCGGCTTCACAATACTCTTCGTCACAATACGATTCTGTGGATTCAATTAATTATATAATTTGATTTCTTCGTTATGAAAGTCGTTCGTAAACACGCGTTTGATACGTATTCATTAAGGAGACTTTAGACTTATCTAGGGATTTGAAGACCGGTTTCGTCGTATCACTCACTCCACGAGAATACCAGGCCTGTAATCAATTAAGTGTGACTGTGTGATTATATGCTTAAGATACTCTATATGACTGATGTGTTTAAAAAAAAAAAAACTTAAGTTTACCAAGTATTTATTACCAATAAAGAATAGTAATAATAATTGTAGTCAATGTGATGAAACTAATTTTGTTTTTAGAGATTGGTTTTCCTTGAAGGATTAACCTGTCGAACCTGTCATTCCCAGAATTTATGAAAAATTATTTTTATGAGATCTAAATCACCTAATTAAAACTAATATTTATTATTTACTCTAGCTTTTTATTGACATTATTTCCGTCGTTTACTACATATATATATATATATATATATATATATATATATATATATATATATATATATATATACTATACTTTATACTTTTAGTGATCACGGACGACGAACGAGAGATTAAACCGTAGCTTAAATTATGTCAACGTCTCGTGAAAACCACAATTAGTTAATAAGGTTGCATATTGTTGCGTTTCTACGCTTTATTCAACTATATATAGCTTGTATAGCCGTATTGTATTAGATAACTTCTTTCCATTTAATACGTTATTAATGAATGTTTATCTTCGTTACAGAGATTCCTTACGACATAGTTCGGTCTCAGACGGGCGGTAAACAGATATTAGTCGACGGCTACGCCTTCACACACAACAAGGCGAAGCTGTGGCGTTGCATCTCGAGCAGCTACTACAAGTGCACGGCGAAACTGAAGATCGACGATAAAGGCCGAATAACTTATCTCTTGAACAATCATAATCATCCCAAAAGGAAGTACTTTAGAGCTGCAGACGGAATGCTCATGAGAGTTTAGAGGAGAAAGTTTTTTCGAGTTGTCCTTGCTTGAGGATTTTTTGACATATAATTACTCTCTATTATTAGTATTAGATTTAATGCACTTTTTTCTTAGAATAGATGCGTAGGCGAACTTTCGGCAACGAGACATTAATTCGTGTTTCAATTTCTTTCGGTGTCGCCCTTCAAACGAGGAATTATGATTTGCGAAGCATAATAAGCTACTTCGTAGTACGGGCTTATAGTTCGACTATCAATGACACGAGTCGATAAATTTTTGGGTTTGGTTTTTGTTGCATAACGCTATCCCTTTATAGATGTTGGTTCATATAAGTTTGTGGAATTGGTACCTGTTCCAGGACCGGTTCACAGTAGATATACTCAGGTACACCGGGCGTCGCTTACGTGTTAGAATAACTATAAGATTTGAGAATATATACTAATTGTATTTGCATGTTTTGATTATCTCTAAATATAAACTTAAATAATAAGCTTGGTATATTACTCAACTAGGATGCTTTTAATTATAACTTAATTTTTTGCTATGAATAAGTTGACTAATTGAAAAATGTAACTAGGTTATATTAGGGATGTTAACTCAATTCTACTATTAGAATTTTTTTGCTTAATAAAATTATATCTAAAATCTACAGCAGTATAAAAAGTGAAGCTTTCAGCAATGATTCACTTAGCTATAAGTTGGAAACCTAGTAGCTTTGATTATGAGAATTGAGACATCCCTATTTTAAGGACGAGAAAAAACGAAGAAAATAAAATCGATTTTTCGACCAGTCATTGTTACATAAACGTTATAAATTAAATAAATTTTAAGACTCATTCTGTTTGAATACTTGTAATGTTTAAAACCTGTAATTGAATTTAATAAACTTGAAATTAAATCGTGAAAGTGTTTTCGCAATATTAAATCATGTTATATTCGACCCTAACCCGTCATGACGTATGCAAGCGTAGTGTTCGCTCACGCAGCCCGCACCCATTTGAAATCCCTTCAGGTTATTCAATCACGATTCTGCAGGATAGCCGTCGGAGCGCCATGGTTCCTTAGGAATGTGGATCTCCACGATGACCTGGAGCTCGACTCTCTTAGTAAGTATCTACAGTCGGCATCGCTGCGCCATTTTGAGAAGGCGGCACGACATGAGAACCCTCTCATCGTAGCCGCTGGAAATTACATACCCGACCCAGTAGACCGAATGGTAAACCGTCGACGTCGCCCAAAGCACGTCATT